TTCTTTACTTCTTAATTTTATTATTTTTATTTTGTTTTACTATCATGTCTTGAATAAACAAGATCAATATATGCTTTGACTGAACATTAACATGATTTATTAAAGCTGACTTTTATAGGGGTGGCCGTGGCCACCCCTGGCCACCCCTTGGGGGCGCCCTTGACCACTGACAAGCTGGATAAAATCTGTTGCATTTTACCAACCAAGCAACGGTTCCTTTCAGAATAAAAGCTGAACTCATTGACTAGGGCTGGGGGTAAACGATTATTTTTAAAACGATTATTCTGACGATTATTTTATCGAATAGTCGACTATTCTAATGACTATTTAGACAATTAATCTAATGATTAAATTTCTATTGCACAGTTTAAAAAAAACAAAAAATCTCTAATTCCTCAAAAAAACTGATAAATTGTTACAGTAAGAGAATAAACACTACAGGCCTTCCATTTTGTATAACACTGCTTTTATTGTGTTGCGGTTGGTTATGTTCTGGTGATGTGTAGAACTTGGGAGTGCAGGCTGCTGCCTGAGAGGTGGTTGGAGACGGAGTGTCTCCATGCTGCTTTGTTTTGGTCACTTATGAGCGTGAGGGGAGCGGTGTTACGACCCTTCCTGGGGAGTTTGGCTCGTGTGCAAAAAGGAAGGGACAATAACGGGATTTAAAAGTTAAAATGATGATCAGGTTTATTTACAACTACAAAAAAACATACATCTTTCTATCCACAGGTTAGGAATAATAAAACTAATTCTGCCTGTGGGGAATTAAAACAAAGTACAAATAACTAGGGATGTCCCACTGGGCAAAGATTACAGGGCTCTGGACCAAAATAAGGATCTCCAAAGGTCCAAACTCTAAACTGGGTGGTTAAACCAAACTCAAGGTGATATTTTAAACTAAACCGAAAACCCACAACACTCTAAATGTAATAAAAGGAAGATCTACACCACAAAAAAGATGAACTCTAAACCAAAACGTAACAGCTTATCCAAACGCAAGAAGCTGTTAGCGAAAATGCTAACAGTAGCTTTACCAACGTTAAGTTCAAGTTACCAAGTTTAAATAAACCAAAAACACCCAGCAGCAAACAGACCAGCACAGAGGAGAGACTGGTACCACCCTCCTTATTCTGCTCTCCCCACCTATTCCGCCTTCCCCAGAATCCACTGATTTCCCTTTTTCCTATTCACTCTCTCTCTTTACATTTTTTTAATCACAATATTGTATTTTTGCTTATTTTAAACACATTTTTAATCTTTTCCTAAAATCTTTTTATAGTTAAAATGTTTTGTTTTTGTGAAGCGCCTTGTGATTTTTATCTCGTGAGGCACTAAAGAAAAGATCTCTCTCTCTCTCTCTCTCTCTCTTTCTTTCTTTCTTTCTTTCTTTCACCCCCGCATCTGGTTTGCATGGACATTCCACCAGGGGGCCTGCGTCCTCTTGGGCCCTATTTAGAGGGGCCTCTATTCAGGAAGTGTGTGCTGCTGTGTGCTGGGCTTTTTCCAACACATTTGCTAATTTCTACAAGCTTGATGTGACAGCTCTTGTTTTGGCACATAAGTGCAGGCTCAAAAATTTGGAAGCATGTGTGCTCCTGTGATTTAGTTTGCATAAGATTCCCTCACAGTCCTTCCCAGTTTCAGCTGTTCCTTCAATTTATTAAAAAGATCTAATATGAAAGTAGCCACTCCCTCTCTCTCTCACTTTGTGCTGCCAGTGCACACCACAGTGGGTCAGACCAGCGCAGATCAGCTGATCTGAGCACAGCTCAACAAAATGGAAAGATTAAGAAATTGGGTAAACCTCCAATCTTATTTTATTATTATTGATAAAAACACGTATTAAAAGCATCATTTTCCCAGCCGTTATTTACTCCTGAAGCAACACTCAACTTCTTTGAGCAGAAGAACAACATGAAAAATGAATAAATGAATCAGGAAAGCAGGAAGATATGTTATTTGTTTTTACATTTTCCACCTCATTTTAAACAATTTAGAACTTGGTGTTTTCATCACATTTAGCTGTCATGATCCGCCCCAGCCTCCCTGACTGTGTCTCTCCTGCCCTGATTTGCGTAATCGTTCTCACCTGTCCCTGATTACTCTGCCCATGTGTTCCTGATTCCCTTGTGTATTTAGACCTCCCTCCTGGTTGTTGTCTTTGTCGGTTCATTGTCGTTGTCCATGTTCGTTCGTCCGTCCTGTTGCTCCCGTCCTACAATAAACAGCTTTTTATTTTTTACATCCGACGGCCTGCTCATCTGCCTCCGGAACCCACCACCACACATGGTCTGCCACCTCCACCCGCAGAACATGACAGAATGAACCGACCAACCTGGACCTGTGGTGAGCTAACACACCTGCTTCTGGAGGATTATTTTTTCTTTTTTGTCCCTTTCAGTTGTGGGAGATTTCTGGCCTGGAGTTTGTGTGTTCGGCGCATCCTACCTGTTCTCGGGGTGGTCGAAGTTCCTCTGGGAGATCCTGGCGCATCCTATTTATCTTCGGGGTGGCCAGGGTCATTCTCCTCCAGCTGTTTTCGCCCCATCCCGTTCTTCTCCTGAAGCCGCGGATCCTGGAGCCTCAAGGGAATTACACCCCCTACGCACGCCATTATTCTCCGGTGTGGTAGGGCTGGTCTCCCCGCTCTTTTCCGGTGGATCCTGGAGCCTCAAGGAAGCTACACCCCCTGCGCACGCCAATGTTCTCCGGTGTGGTAGGGCTGGTCTCCGCTCTCTTCTCCGGCTTCCCTTCACCCGAGCCTCCGCCGATGGACCCAGCAGATCGGGATGTGCACCTGCTCTGATTGGGATGTCGAGTACCTGCCGCCGAGCTGGGCTTCCATGCGTCGCTCCCGCTGCTCTACCACTTCCTGGTCCACGCCTGCAGGTTCTGTGCCTGCAGGTTCTCCACGCAGCAGTTCCTGCTGGGGCCTATGCCTGCTGCTGCAGTTCCTGCTGGGTCCCACGCCTGCTGCTGCAGTTCGTCTCTGTGTTCCTGGTGTCCTGTATTCCTGGAGTCAAGTGATCGTGTCAAGTCAAGTGATCGTGTCAAGTCAAGTGATCGTGTCAAGTGATCGTGTCAAGTCAAGTCATCGTGTCAAGTCATCGTGTCAAGTCAAGTCTGCGTGTCAAGTCAAGTCTGCGTGTCAAGTCATCGTGTCAAGTCCAAGTGTTCGAGTGCCCAAGTCCAAGTCCAAGTGTTCGAGTCCCTGTGCCCAAGTCCAAGTGTTCGAGTCCCTGTGCCCAAGTCCAAGTGTTCGAGTCCCTGTGCCCAGTCCTTGAGTCCCAAGTCTTCTGGTCCGAGTTTCCCTGGTCTACGTTCTTGGACACATCTGTTTGGTCGTAAGACGGAGTGCCGCCTGAACCGGAAGGCCCCTGTTCTCACCTGTCCCTGATTACTCTGCCCATGTGTTCCTGATTCCCTTGTGTATTTAGACCTCCCTCCTGGTTGTTGTCTTTGTCGGTTCATTGTCGTTGTCCATGTTCGTTCGTCCGTCCTGTTGCTCCCGTCCTACAATAAACAGCTTTTTATTTTTTACATCCGTCTGCCTGCTCATCTGCCTCCGGAACCCACCACCACACATGGTCTGCCACCTCCACCCGCAGAACATGACATTAGCTTGTATTTTATTTAAAATATTGTAATCTTTATTCATTTTATGATCATTTTTGTGTTTCATTGTTTGGAAAAAGATTCCTAACATGAAAAATCTTTTGGTTTGTATTTTTTAATAAGTTTTTACCATTAACTGTTATTTAAATGTCATTCTATACTTTGTAGAAGTGTTTGTTTTGCTGCATTTTAGCTGGTATGTGAGTTTTTCTGGTCTCACTTTAACAACTTCCAACATAAAATATCGTTTTAATCACATTCGTCATTTGTACGCATCAAACTAAACTGTCATGGCAATACTGTAAAACTGCTTTTTTGAATACAGAGTCTACAAATTTTTTCAACACATAAGCAGTGGTCTCTAGTATAAATGAATGCCTTGTGAGTCAATCTCTGTGGGGGAAAAAGCTTTGGCGCTCCTGTTTTGGGCATTAAAATTGAACAACAGTCGAGTTGAGCTGCAGACGGCAGAATTTGGAGTCTTATTTCCTGATATTCTGGCATCTCATCTCTGATTGGCTAACAGCAGCGCTACTCTACCACCAACTATGCTCTGCAACGTTGATGTTTTATTTCAACAAATAACACAAGCCTGAAGGAGTTCTGTAATGGAGTTGCAAATGCTAATGTTAGCTTCTGTTAGCCATGGCATGCTCCAATCTCTCCTGGATGCTAAATCAACAACAGCCTTGATGAATGCTATTTTACAGAGTGGCATAGATCTTTCTGACCCAAGCGCTTCTTTGTCTGTTTTCTATCAGCAGCTAATGCAGGAAATAGGGGTAGAAGACTATTTTCACATTTAGCCTGCATGTGAAACTCAGATTGACCAGTTACGTTTCAGAAATAACAAGTAAAAAATGGTTTCTCTGTGAAATTGGTCTTTAATTTTTAAAACTGTCAAATTAGTTCTTGTATTTTTTTGTTTTCTCCATCACACAAAACAAAGCATCAGCATGATGTCTGACAACAAGAACTGACCTGTGGAAACACATGATTAGCCCAGGATAGACGGAGGGATTAGCATTCACGTGGCTTCAAATAAACATTGTGTTTAAAAATTCTGACTCGAGAATTTTTTGGTGTGATTAAAGTCACTTGATTAATTGATCCAGCCATAAATAAAGATAGATGATTTATTAGCAAACATTTTGTGAAATCACATCCAGCAAAACCCCCATCTGGATTAGATTAAGATGTTTGCCTCTTCAAGCAGAAGATAACACATCAATCACGTGCCACTGTCAGATGACATTAATCACTTGAAAATCACGTCAAGCTTCAGCGCAGTGTATTAACAGCTTAGCATGCTGGTTTTCAGTCTGCAGATATTTATCCAAAAGAACCAGAAGATGGATAAAATGAAAACAAAGCATCCAACTTACCCATTTTCCAAGGGTGTGCAAAACCCCAGTCAGCTTCCCGAATAAGTTCAGCAAACTCTGCATTAGAAAAAGCTAAAGGTCACGACTGAATTACAAAAGGATAACAAGTCCTTAATATTAACAGAAAAGTACAGGTTGCACACCTCTTTCCCCCCCAGGTCTGTGCTTGCTGAAAAACAAAAGAAAACATCGAAGGGGCTTAGAAAGTTGCAAAAACAAACCACATAAAGTACTCAAAGGTCCCTCCAATTTAACACAAGCCCAGGGTCACTAACCTGAGCTGCTGACAGCAGGGTCAGCAGGCAGCTGCCACAGCTTGGTGTTGGTTGCAAGCTTCTGAATATAAGCATCGTCCACTTTCAAGAGGATGTTCTCTGGCTTTATGTCCGCATGTATAATCTTGCATTTAGTATGCAAGTAATCTAAACCCTGCAAAACCTGTTTAAAGAACAAATATGTCTAAATCAAAGCTAAAATTCTCTGTTCTGAGTGGTCAGAGATGGGAAACGTATATAAAGTATAGTAAGTATAACTTAAAAGTAAGATATATGAGGATGGAAGGCACCTGTCTGATGATGCTCTTAACACAAGCCAGGGGGAGGCCAGTGTAGTTGGATTTTATGATCCACCTCAGCAGCTGTTGGCCAAGAACCTCTAGAACCATGCACACATCTGTTGAACAGCTAAGGAACATTTTAGTTCTAGTGGAGTTGCTTAAAACTTCAACAATTGGACTGAATTTGAGCAATAAAAAGTTAAGTGTATTAGTGAACATAAGTATGGAAGAACAATCTTTATTTAAGATGTTGCTTTCAAGTCTGAAGCAACAAATTTAAGGGTAATATATTTGATTTGTAAAGGATACGCTCTCCAGTCACTCCAGATATCCTGAAATCATCAATGAGCTGAACAACATTCTCACGTTTAGGATCTTTGGGATCACTGTCCCGAACCTAAGGATTATCAATCAAAAGTTTCAAAAGTAATCAGAATAAATTCATTTAAAATAGTAATATTTTTCAGATTTCATAGATACAAGCTAAGCAACTGTTACTGAGTCAGAACAAATGTAAAACACTAATGGGAAAACCATTAGCCTCTTGTACGCTTTTCAGTAGTTTAGCATCTCCAGTTTAGTGTGAGGATATGCCAGGGCCCTCATTTATGATCCGAACTTACACACACATACAACTTGCATAGGAACAGTTTTATGCATTGTGTGGTATTTGTCATCTTGTACTTGTGGTAGAAATGTTCCTAAATAACAGAATAGCTCTGACCATGCATACAAACAGCATCTAATGGTAGACTGAGGGAATTGCAACACTGACAGTCTCAGTCATCCATGTGTGTTCCTTAACCACAAAAAAACTTTACCCAATAAGTAATAATGTCTGTGGAGAAACTGCTTTATCACATAACTTAGAACCCATAAAAGGCAACTGTGACCAACAGGGATCTGACATTGTAGCATGGCTGGTCTTGTGTTATTGGAGGAGCTTGTGCTCTGGAGGGAACATGTCTTCCGTGACCACAACGATCTGATCCCTGAAGAAGATCTTTCTGGAGCTATGCTGTGATTTAGGACCCTTTATGGGGCGACAGACAAACTGCATGATCCCAATTCCGGTCCGTGTTCAGTGAGTGATAACTTTAATGACTGTACATATAAGGGAAGAACCCTCTACACAACCATCCACAGGTTTCTGAAGAGTTCAGTGGGCCGTTTCCACCACTGCCATCTCGGTCATGTCACATCACACCCAAAAAATACAACAACAACAAAAATGCTGAAAGTGGGGTCATGAGGGAAGGGGCCGAAGATTGTCACCCAACATACTCTGAGCTGACGTAACTACCAGGTAACTGATCTAACCAAAGCTAACAGAGGTTGGCAGGCCAGAAAACCGTGGTTGAGCGATTCTGCTACTTCTGCCTTTCAGGCTGTTACACTTTTAAAGTGAGGCTGAGATCTTCCATGGAACAAGTAGAAGGGCAAGCCAATAGCACTAGCACTGACAGCTCATCTGCTACCTGTTAATAAAATGGACATGCCCCTAAGTATTCAGTGGTGGATCTGTGTTAGTGTGCAGAGGTAGATCTTTGGAAAGACACAGACTGGCCCTCATGCTCGTCTGGCGTAAATCAAAAAGAACATCTCTGGGACATCATTTAGGTCCATTCAACACCACCATGTTGCACCTCAGACTGTCCAGGGGCTTGGTGATGCCCTGGTTAGGATCTGGGAGGAGAAACTCAAGGACGTCATCAGCTCATAAGGAGCACGTAGGGACCATAAAAAATACCATTGTGAGCTGCTTCAATTACATTTAAGCAAACTGAATCGACGTGCAACTTGTTTTCAGTTTCAACTTCTTGATGACTTGGAATTAGGATCTGTGTAGGTTAAAATGATGTGACATCCTTTGATCCAAACACATTATCCGTTTCATATCAGTAAGGATCTTTTCCACAACGTTTTTTCCAGTTGAGATTCGATGTGTTTCAGAAAGTCTTTCTTTCATTTTTTGAGCTGTGTGTTTGAAGAGTGAAAAAATTCCAGCCTAAAACTACAAATAGATCTTAAAAGTTAGTGATACTGACACATTTAAGAAGTTTGATCTCATCCAGTGCCGTCTCTGTGAATGTCTGAGCACTCTTCACCACCTTCAGAGCCACAAAATGCCTCGTCCTGCATTCAGACATCCAACAGTTACTATCACAGCATTTGAACTTCCTATAAACCTTAAAGTCATAAGGTAAATCCTTTACTTACACCATGTCCCAGCATAACCATACAGTGGAGAAGTGACCCCAGCCCAACTTTTGAACTACTTGGTAACGATCGGCAAAAATTTCTCCAATTTCTACAGGGTAGTAGCCACCTGCAGTCCAGAGCCAAGAAAACAGAGGTGAAGAGCTCAAACAGCACATTGGATTAGGGGTTGAGTTCACCGTCAGAGAAGAATCAGAGGAAGATGTCTTCAAACAGCATTAGGGGTTACTAAAGAACAGGGTGGTAAACAATCAACACATACAGAAAGTACAGCAGAGTAAATGCCCCAAGAATGAAAGTGGGGTGTATCTGTTATAGACCCATTGAAGCGTGACACGCCCACACCCCCGCCCCCTCCCCAAACCCTGGCTGGAGGACAAGAAGCAAGAACCTCCCCATTGATCACTGTTGTGTTTATTTGTCAGTTGTCAATAAAAAGTGCTTAATGGGGCAAAATAAAATCTAAAGCCTACCACACACAAGAGCAATCTGCTGAGCAAACGGCTTCAAATGACTGTTTGCTCAGCAGATTGCTCGCTGTATGCACCTGATTTTCACTGAGTTTTCCGCCTCACGAGACGCTGAGGTGAATATCTGACCACGGGGGGTAGAAACTCACCGTACTACTGAGCTGCTGGCTGAGTTGAAATATTCTAGTGGCCAATCAAAGCGCGACCCAAATTTTTCTATATCGGCCATCTGCCAAATTTATTTTTAAAAGCTGATAAATTAAAAATAAAATTTAGGCACTTGTTTGGCCAACTGCCACCACTACAAGACTGAAGAAAGGACCCGAAGGACCCCAACACATTGTGAGCCAGCCCACTCAATAGCGCTGTGATCCAGCTCATCTATAAATTTCCCTCTGGGATTAATAAAGTATCTTTGAATTTTGAAATACAATAAAGTTTATGTAATATAGTGATACTGCATTGTGTTTGAGAAACGCTGGAGCTGTTCTGCTGGGCATTCTATGTTGTTTGTAGTTGAATGATGTCATCTAGTGGTCATGTTTGAGTCCAAGAGTGGCTGGTTGTGACCGGGCATGTGGGGTGGAGTCTTGCATTAACTCATTCACTGCCAGCCGTTTCCTGATCGGTAAAGCTCTTCACTGCCAGCGTTTCTCACTGTTTTTACTGTTTAAGAGTCACATTAAGTTGCGCGCTAGGATGATGTCGACGCCAAAACAACCAAAACAAAGAGGAGACTCACGTCTTACATTAGGAAGAATTTGCGTTTCGAGCGTTATCCGTTCTTTCATAATCCGTTGTTGAATTGTGATCGGCAGACGCTTTTCCGGTTCACGCCTCACTTTTTTAATAGAAATGGCCCAAAACGTCCTCCTAACACATGGATGTTCTGCTTCCTGATCATGTGACGTGTGACGTATACAGATGAAGGATGGCTTCAGAGCTGAGATGTTTGTTCTCTTAGTGCGGGGGCTCATTCTGATGCCCACACAGTAAAAAAAAATGCAAATGACGACCTTAGTCGTCATTGGCAGTTAACGATGGCATCTAAAATGTGTGTGTGTGTGTGGGTGGGTTGGTGTGTGTGTGTTTGTCTGCTCTGTCTTCTCGATCCCCAGTGAGTCATGGCATATAGCTGCTTATACTGAGCCAGGATCCTCTGGAGGTTTCGTCCTGGAGTTTTCCTCTCCACTGTCACTGCATGCTTGCTTAGTATGAGGATTGCTGTGAAGGATTGACTTGATGCAATTTGCTGGGTTCCTTATAAAGGAAACATTTTGCTGACTGGCTACGGAAGAATTAAAATGCCAGAAATTGAGCACTTGAATTTTCTATTTGAGAGCAGAATTTCATATCAAGAGACCAACTTTTTAATTTGAGAATAATATTTCATATTATTGCTCTCAAAACTTGTAATGCTTGCACTCAAAATGTCTGCTCTCTTTCAAATATTCTCTGTTCTCCTTCAAATCTTTGTTTCTGCGCTCAGATTTTAACCTTCTTACACTGGTAAGAAGGCTGATTTGGGTGTGTCTGGTGAAGTGTCGGGTTGTCAGCTCGGCTCCTGACAAAACACGGCTTTGATCTGATTTTAATGATTTTATCACTTTTTTGTTTAAACATTGGGCACATTAATTGCATACTGCTTTTTTAAACGCCGCTCGGTGTGCAGTTTTAATTATCAATTGTTTTTTATTGCATGTTTTCACTTTTCTGAAGCGGTAGTGTGTGGGTCGTACGTGACAACCCCCCCACCCCCCCCCACCACCACCCCCACCACCACCGCCGCCATTTTAAATCACAACCTGGATGGTTTATTTTTAACGGAGACCTGGCTGAGTGCAAATGCCCCAGTTGTTCTCACAGAGGTTTCCCCACCAAATTTTAATTTTACTTATTCTACAAGGAGCAGCAAAAAGGGAGGCGGTACTGCCTTTATAATCTCAGCAACACTTACCGCCAAACCTGTTTCATTTGATAATTTTAGCACTTTTGAATACAATGCAGCTGTTTTTGAGACTCCTCAAATTCTGTGTCACATTTTATAGACCTCCAAAAAATAGCACATCTTTTATAGAAGAATTTTCAGAGTCTTTATCCAACTTACACACACTTATGACCAAGTAATTTTAGCCGGTGGTTTTAATTTACATGTAGATTGTCATGAGCCGGGGAGAGTACTCTGCCCATCATTCTCCATCTTTGAGTTTTGCCTGCAGGACAGGGAGCGCAGCTGATCCTCATCAGCCTGATCAGCGGGGCGGCTTTAAAAGGAGGAGTTATCCTGACTCAACGCCGGATGATTAACTACTGACTGGTAGTCTTTAGCCCTTCGTAACTTTTGAACCTCGTCTTTGACTTTGTAAGATTTTTTTAACTCGTTTTAACTTAAACTCGTTTCTTGGATACTTACCCTCAGGCTTGCTTCACCTCTGGATCCTCTCCCGTCATGGAGAGAAAGGATTATTCACCGGTTCGCTGCCTGGATTCCTAACTCCGCTCTGCCGTCCCGCTCTCCACCGTGATCACGCTCTCTCTCCGTTTCCTCGTAATCATCATCTTCCTCCATTCCACTCACCCACTTGGACTAAAGACAATTCTCCTCTGGATATCACCCCGGCTCATCTCCCCTCCACATTCATCCTGAACTTCCGCATTGTAAGTCCTGCCTACAAACATTCACTCTGACTAAAATTCCCAGTACTCATCTCTGGTTTCCTCTAGTTGCCGCTTCCTAGGGATGGGTACCGAATTCGGTACTTTTTAAGGTACCGACCGAATTCCATAGTACCGACCAATAGGGCTGCAACAAACGATTATTTGGATAATCGATTAATCGGATGGGGTCTCGACACGATTAATCGATTAATCGGATTACATGGGGAAATTTTTAAAAACTGCTAGGGAAACGTTATTTCTCTCCTTCCTTCACTTTATTTAACACAACATTATTAGAAAACAGTTCAATAGCAGAAAAACAACATGCCATCACCTAAATTGTCTTAAAAGGTGTATAGACAGAGACCCTAAGCTACATCTATCTGTGACCTAAAATGCTTGGTCCAAGTTAAACAGCTTAAGGGCAATTCTCATCTGTTTTGTTTGATCTCATCTGTTGACATTTATTTTAAATGTAATTAAACATAGGCTGTGAATTAATCAAAATTGATCACTATTTCCAAAAATGACTGAAAAAATACCAAATAAAACAAAAGTAAATGAATGCCATCCTCCTTGCGATGATGCCCTGGGCAACTGCCATAAAGTCACATCAAGAAATGCTGCTGATCATTCCAATGATCCCAAATAGACTCACATTAGGCCACATGAAAGCAACTGAACCCAAAAATATATTAACCAGTATATAACTGCACTCTCACACAACACGCCTGCAGCAACAGTTAGGACTCCTCCCTCCCTTTTAAAAGCGTTTTTGCTTCTGAGGACATTGTGGTTGTAAAACCACATGCTAGTAGTCTGGCCCCGGTGTGATCAACCAGTTTCTGCGGGAATGTGACGGCGGAACCAGGGCCAGATTAACACTTTGTTGTACCCTGGGCAACAATATTCAAGGGCTCCATCATCACGACCCAAGGATCACCATAATGTGGTCACATACAGAATATTTTACTGTAATATGCAGTAAATATACTCAATACTTGAATGCCTGATAACACGTAACCCGCCCAGAGTAACCTTTGACCCACCTCGTGTGGACTGACCAATGAGGAGAGGGTCTTAACTTGAGGCCCTCTCTTCATTGGTCAGTCTGCATGAGACTGACTCTCAACTGACGTTCAGTCGTAGGCAGCGAAGCGTCTCTGTGCAGTGCAAAAGCCCGGGTGGACAGTTTGTTTAATGTAGGGTGACCATATTTCCATTTCCAAACAAGAGGACAGGGGATCTGTGCCTATGACGTCACACTATGGCAACGCCACACAAACCATGTTGGGACCCATTTTTTGTAAGAACTAAATTAATATCAGATTCTGCCAATAAAAGGGCTCTAAAACAATTCATATGTAAATATTTTGCATATTTAATGCAAAATCTAATTTTTCTGCTTTAGTGCTGCAACAAGGTTTTATTAATAATAAATTATTATACCTTTTGTTTTACTACAGCATAAGCTTCCTGTGCACAGATTATTAAGGATGCTTGTTTCAGCTGTGAGATTAGACGATAGGATCAATGAAAAAATAAGTTGTCACACACTCCATGGAAACTTTCAGAGAATCCACAAATAGTGGCTTTCAAATGGTTTTGTTACTTTTTGCAAGTTTATAAAAGAAGCAGATGAGACAGCATGTCTGATAATTTAGTTTTTCATCTGATAATATTAGAACATGTCAGTAATGTCTGAGGAGCTTTTATAAACACCATATAACTAACACTACTGGAGAGGGTATGAATTACACAGAGGCTTCTGGGGAGCCCAGTTATTGGGGGGGGGGGCATTTTGCCTTGGCCCCCAAAATGTCTTGAAACGGCCCTGGGTGTGTGACTGAGTTTTGAAGGTGATCTGAATTGTATCAGATGTATAAATATGACATGTGTATAACTTATTGTTTTTTACTGGTAAAAACATGTAGTGGAGATAAATCTACCTACATTTTACTTTTCAACACTTTGTTTTGTT